GAACCGGGGACTCAACTCAGATCCTTGTGCTTGCCAGGCAAGTGCTTATTCTACTGAGCTATTTCCCCAGCCCCCACATTTGTTTTTTGGTAGTACTGAGAAGTGAACTAAGGGCCTTGGCATTGAGCTATATCCCCAGTCGTTTTTCTTTTTTTACGTCTTAAGACTTAGCTAAATCACTAAGTTGCCCAGAATGGGCGGTTTATGATCCTTCCACAGCTTCCCAGAGTACTGGAGTTACAGGTGTGCACCACTACACCCAGCTTTATGTGTTATACTGTATCAGTGTGTAAATATGCAATCAAGGTACATTAAGAGACTGAGGGAGAAGTATTAGTACAGGCAAGTCAGGAGACAGTAACAGGAAATGGCAAACAGATCCTTGTAAGCAAAAGAGGAAGCAGCTGAAAAAGAGCAAATAAGAAATGTGCAGCGGTACACAGCCTGATACCTTCTAGAATGGGACAATACATTTTCATAAATGTAACTTTTAATGATCTTGAATCAAAAGAAAAAGTTTGGTATTTTCTAAGAAAATTACACATGTATACACACCCATACTAAAGATTAATAAGAGAATATGTGCATGAAGTTAAGCTCTAAAAATATATATAGAGAGAGATGTTTAAAGGATGCTAATCTATGTTTTGAAAGTTATTACAACATTCACAAGACCTGAGAAAAAATTCGGACAGAACAAAACTTTGTTTAAAACTGGTAGCATTACTATAATTCTAGGAAAACAGAAAGTAACTTGAATATCCTAGTAGGAGTCGGCAAACCACAGCCATGGGCCAATTCTACATTACCATCTGTTTTTGTAAAATAAAATTTTATTGGAACACAGTCAAACTTATTTGTTCACATGCATGGGTCCTTTTGAGCTACAGTGGCAAAGCTGAGTCAGTGTGTAGCTAGTCAATGTTTCCTGTATCTACTACTTGGCCCTTTAGAAAAAGGGCTGCTGATCCTGAACTGGAAGGATCTTCATCTGCCTGGCTTATTCTCAGAGCAGCTCTTGAGAACTAAGTGCTGGGAGGACATCAGGCAGGATTACAATGAAAGGCAATGCTGTTCCCCTCCAACACTAATGTACAATGATTTCAGAGTTTGTGAATCAATTAATGTGCTTACATGAGGTAGGTGCTCCTGATGCCTAAGAAAGCCCAGTCCTGTTAGTCCTAGGGAGAGCTGCTTTTGTATTAAATAACTGACTGAGTTTCCTAGTAGGCAGGGCCTCACCTACAGAAGCCGAGGTATCAGTTATTGCTCAACAGGGAAATAATGTAGTATCACCCCAGGCAAATAACCAGCACATTATACTGCTTTTCTCCTTGAAAAGACTGACTCCAAACCAGTTAAGACACAACTGTAAGTATGCATTATTTTCAGAGATTTAGTCAACTCTTTAAAGGAATGAGCCATTTACATCTCAATTATTTTCTAAAAATGAGTGCATAAAAATGCATACATCTTCTGACATTCATGTAATGATTTACCCAAGACCCTCTTCTAGTGTATTCCAGTACATAGGGCTGCCAAAGCTTTCCTGTGTGAGATTTCTGGCTTCTGACAAGGTACCTAAGAAATAATTTGAACATGCCAAATAGTGTACTAGAAAATGAAACCAAAGCAAGTAAACAAGCAATAAATTTCAAATGACTATAGTATTTTAGAATTGTTTAAAGTAGTTAAAATTGTGCTTTAAGCTTAACAGGCACAAAAAAACACAGATTACTTAGGATCCCAAATGTAATGTGTAATACATTGCTTAGGAAAATTACAACAGAAATGTAATTTCTACCTTACCAGAAATGTGACCTAAACTAATAGGCTAGCCATAATAAACATTAAACATTTTATTAACAATAATTTTGCTTGCCTTCTTAGAATTTAGAAGGGCTTTGGGGGATGATTTGGATGGCCCAGGTCTCTTAAAAAAGGTGTCCAAGGAAGTTTGAATTGATGCCTTCTTTGTCTCTCGATTAATGTCCCTGTAGCAAGCAGAGGCATTCACAATCATTGCATTGACTGTAAGAACTGGGCTCAACGTAGTGTTTAAAATGTATGTGGTTAATGAGGATGAGGATGGTGTATTTCCCCACTGAAGAAAACTTTCAGATGTCAAAATGGACCCAACATCTCCCCCCTTCACCTTTCCTCTATAGATTTCCTTTATTCCAAGTGAGAACATCAGGACACCAACTTAGTAACCCTAAGGAATTGGTACAACAAATATAATGGTGGGAGCTCAGGTTTCTCAAAATGCACCTGGTAAACCACTGTGGCTCTGCCATAAAGTGTGTGACTGTGGACAAGGGATTCAGCCTCTTTTCTAAAACTTAGCTTCCACTGTACACAAGGGGCCACACAGTTTCTATCCACCTTATAGAAATGCTTTCTGAAAACTACAGATAACATATTCAGTATAAAGCATCCAGTACAGCATATGATACGGACACACTAAAGGCTCTAAAAAAAGCAAATACAACAAAAATGATTTATCAACCCTCACTGGCTTTGACAACTAAGACTTTCACTGGGCCCTCGTATCTTACAGACCAAATCAGAAATTCTTAAGCAAACAGCTCTCACATAGTATTTGTTTCTGGTCAGCCTGTGTACTAAAATATGGATGCTAGCTTCTTTATTGAAGAAAACACAGGGTGCTATGAGAACCAAGCCAACAGCCAAGTACTGTCTGGTACACTGTTTAAAAGAGAGAAGGGATAAGAGGGAGCTGTTCTACGCTCACAAGTGACCAAGAATTAAGAAGCCTGTCGTTAATCAATAAACAAAAGGTTAGTATAGCCCACTATTCTAGGGGGCATAAGCACTTAATTTATTGCTCATTTTATTTTACTTAAATTTTTTTGGCAGAACTGGGGATTGAATTCAGACCCTTGAGCCACCTCCCCGACCCCTACTGCTCATTTTAGAATTTCCAACTTACAGAAATTTGGGTATAGAATAAATTTATAGGAAGAAAGCATAGATCTCAAGGGCTGTGGAATATACAGTGAACCTGGACCTGAATGCTGACTGCCATTTATCCCAATTACTTAAAACTCTCTACACTCTTTAAGTCTCTTTACACTTAGTTTCCTGATCTCCAATAGGAAGTCATTCTCTCTTCCAGGGTTATCTGAGGGCACAGTGAACAAATATTCAGGTCCTTGTATAGAGCAAAATTCAATAAATGTCTGCTTTACCATAGGAAATGGGGATTGATCTGGAAGAGAACAAAACCATTAAAAAATGAGGGGAGAAAAAAATCTCTTGGGACTACCTTTAAAAGAGCAAAATTTACAGCATGAGGGTGGGAAATAGGCTCACAACATTTATGAGAACTAATCTCTTAAACATAGTCCACTTAATGAAATGTAAAAATAAAGGGGATCAATGTAAAGTAATCAGAATTGCACTGCAGAGAAGTGTCAATTAACTAACTGCAAGAGAAGTAGACCTTATCGTGGCAGGAACTGCTCTTCATTAAAAGCCACAATTTTACTGTCCTCCCCAGAAGTATCAAGAAAGCATTCTTTACAAGTGATATGAAATTCACACATTTTAATATACTGTGATTTTAGAGCAGATAAGGGACAATGGAGAAAACGTCTTATTCTCTTGGCTCTATTCTTTGAAATTCGAGAAGGGAGCTCATACTGCTCTGCATTTGCCCTCCTCCCTAGCAGCCCATACCTGCCTGGGAAACTTCGTGGAGTTGTGCCTGACTGTTCCATCTACAATTCCATCTACAACTTCATATGGACTAGATTCTCATCAGCACAGCTTTCCAACCCAACAGCTGAAGGAAATGCATTACCACAGGTAAGCATGTCCTCTCCTGAATGAGGAAACTGAGGCCCAGAGAGAAGAAACAATTTGCCCAAGGTCACACAGTCAAATCTATAACCCAAGTGGTATTTAAACTCAGCTTTCTATGACTCATCCCAATCTATCAGGCTGAGGAAGATCTTAGGATTTCCACACAGAACTTTAGGAAATATTGATCAGTAGAGCACAAGATCAGGAATTTTAAGAGCTAAACTTAGTGGAGCTGTGCCTGACTGTTCCATGTACAATTCAGATAAGCTACCCAATTTCTGTAGTTTTAGCAAAAAGTACAGTATAAAATTTTGGCCTGGGGAAGTGGGGGGGGACCATGTTTAAGGCTACTATAAATGTGAATTTTAACAAGAATAGAAAACACCAGGGGCTGGTGAGATGGCTCAGTGGTCTAAAGCACCTACTTAGAACAAGCTTAGCAAAAAAAAAGGGACCGCAGTTCAATCCCCCAGCACCACATGCCAGCCAGTCCCGCCCCCTGGTGGGCTGTGCTGGCCACACACACAATTAAAAAAAAAAAAAAGAAAACACCAAATAATTCCCCTCTGAAGGAAGCCACAGGAATATACGCAATTAGGCTCTGACTTTTAATACTGGGACTCCTATAAAAAGCAAAACGCCACCATTTTCTCAATCATTAGTCCCAATCATTTCTCCCACTATAAATATGAAAATGAAAATGACCAATAACTCCCAGTTTCCAAATTCTCAGTCACTTACCAAAGGCTCCAAGGTGCTTATATCTTTCAGTTTATTTCCACTTAAGTTTAGGTGTGTGAGATTTGGAAGTTTTTCTGCTAACATGTCCAGACCTCCAAAGATTTTATTGTCACTGAGCTCAAGCTGCAAAAGAAAGCACACACAATACAGACACAAACATACATCACTAAGGTGGTATGAACAGTAAATACAGCTCTCAAATACTTATTAAAAAAAATCTGTCTCTACTAAAGCATGTTATGGGGCGGCAAGATATCTCAGCGGTCTAAATTGCCTGTTTAGGCAAGCTTAGGCAGATGCAAAGGACTGTGGTTCGATCCCCAGTGACACATGGTGCGCCAGCCCCACCCTCGGTGAGCTGAGCAGGGGAGGAAAAAAGCATGTTATGTCCAATTTGTTTGATTAAATTTAAAAATGTAATTTATAGATCCCAGAATCATTTGGAATAGGGATAGAGAACACAGTATTTTCTCAATCAGCTACTAAAAAGTTTGCTCAAAAACTGACCTCTAGTATCAGTGAATGTATTTCCTAACCTAAAAAAGTAGATCAAAACAAATTATAGCTGGGTGTGGTAATGTACACCTGTAATCCCAGTATTCAAAGTGTTGAAGCAGGAGGATAGCTGTAAGTTTGAGGCCATCCTGGACTAACAGTGAGTTCTAGGACAGGGGGACACAAGGCTGTGGGCCTGATCTTCAGTACCAAAAAGAAGTTTCAAAGGCAGCAGAGTAACAATCCAGGTTCACGAAGCGAGTTCCCTAACGGTCATTTCTTATAAGAACCAAGAATATACTCTAATTTCTAAGCTATAGATCCAACAGCACAGACAAGTAATGTGCCAAAAAAGGAAGACTTCATCAAGAAGTGTTAGAATCTTAAAGCACAAGAAACTGGAGCTTGAAGATCACTGTAGGTAACATCTAATCCAAGCTGTTTGCAGACAGGGGGGGGGGGGAATCATACCACACAACTGGTTCCAATTCTGTATTTTAAGTGCTAGCAATGGTTTATCCAACTACTACACAGTACTTACATGCTATGCACCACTCATGGCATTAGAAATACACTAACTCATTTGATCTCACAACTCTAAAGCATAGGAACTATCACCTTCATAGGATATAGCTCAGCAGCACAGCACCTGACTGACGTGCACTGAGTTTGACTCCTGGTTCCAAGGGGAAAAAAAAAAGTATTTTGGAAATCTATGATCTTTATACACTTTTAGAATCTCTTTCTTTTTTTTTTTTTTTTTTGCGGAACTGGGGATTGAACTCAGGCCCTTGCACTTGCCAGGCAAGTGCTTATTCTACTGAGCCATCTCCCCAGCCTCCACTTTTAGAATTTCTAAATTCATGTACTATACAAACTTCACATCCAACAAAAGTGTTATGTCTCAGGTCTTAGGCAAGTTCTGGAAATAAGTTTATGCATCCTTTGCCTAAACTTGATAATAAAAAAATTTTTTAAAGTGTGCCTTTGTTTAGAATAAAAATTCAACTAAGTTGCATATTATATAACATCTTTTCCTACACAATGAAAAAGGTACTGGTACTGATACAGAGCTGTGCTCAAGTTTGGATCTAACGCTAACCATTATAGCGGGTAGCCTAGGCAAATTACTGTCCCTTCTGGGGACTGCTGCTGTAATGAAGGCTTGGACTAGAAACAGTACCAAATTTTCTTCCAACTTTTGACACTTCTAGGGCTCTGTGACCAAACATAAAATATTTTTCTTAAGCATTTTGCTTCTTTTTTTCATTGTGCTGCTATGCAGTTTAAGGCTGGCCTTGGGCCCACTACAGTATGTAGCTCAGGCTGGCCTCAAATTTGCACTGATCTTCCTGCCTCAGTCTCCCAAACACTGGGATTACAGGTGCGCTTCATCATGCTCAGCTTACATTTTTTCCTTTTCTTGGGAGTGGGAGAAATGTGGTGGTGTACATAAGTGGTTTTAATTAGACTGTTAGAATATTAAAGAGACCATCAACTAGCATAGCAAAATATAATTTTGTTACACTGAATCTTTCTAGTCAATCACAACACACTTCAAATTTCCTATTCATTGAAAATCTTGTAATGAGCTTGGTGTGGTAGTGCGTGCCTGTAATTCCAGTATCTGGTAGGCAGAGGCAGGAGGATCACTGAACTATATACGGTGAGTTCAAGAATCATATGGAATACATAGTGAGTTCCTGTCTCAAAGAAAAACAAAAACAAGGTGGGCAGGCTGGTACACACCTATAATTCCAGCAGTTGGTAGGCAGAGGGGAGGAAGATAACCTCCAACTACTTAGTAAACTCAAGACCAACCTGAACTAAACTGAAAAACCCTGGCTCAAAACAAAACATATCAGCACGTAAGAACAAAATCTAGTAAACATTATAGTAAACTTTAAAAAAGTTTAACCAACTACCTACAAAATAATCCTTTTTGGGGGGTCTCCCCCCCCCAACCGGGGATTGAACTCAGGTCCTTGGGCTTGCCAGGCCAAGTGCTTATTCCATTGAGCTATCTCCCTGCCCTCCCCCCCTGGGGGGGGGTCTTTTTGACTGTTCGTTTTTTGAGTTTTTTTGAAACAGGGTCTCCTTATGCAGTTCAAGCTGGCCTTTAAACTCACTTTGTAGCCCAGGCTGGTCTCAAACTCACAATGATCCTCCTGAGCATTGGGATTACAGGTATGCATCACCATGCCCAGCCCTTTTGGGTCTTTTTGAAATAGGGTTTCACTACACAGTTCAGGCTGACCCTAAACTCACTGTGTAGTCCAGGCTCGCCTTGAATTTGCAGTGATCCTCCTCATTCAGCCTCCCAAGTGCTGAGATCACAGGCATGTGTGCTACCACCTCTGGCTACAAAATTATTGATGAGTATCTAACATTATTTCCAAACATCACACAGACTTTGCAAGGTCAAATAGTATCACAACTGTATTGCTGATGAAAATGAACTTAAGGAGGTGAGGCACCTTGTAGAAGATCACCCACAAAAGCAGCAACAGAGGCTGAGGTATAGCTCAGTGGTAAAGCACTTGCTAACGTTATGACAAGCCTTGGATTCAACACCCAGCATTTTTTTTTTTTTTTTAATTTTTATTTTTTAAAGGAACCAGCAGAGAGCTACAATCTAGTCCCCTATCTACCCAGTTCCAAAGACCTTGTGCTTTCCAATACACTAAGTTCTTCCTTACAGGCAAAGCCATATACTTCCCCTTCCCAAGTTAGTTGTCTTTTACTTGAAGAAAAAGTACTTACCTTTTTCAATTTAGGTAATGTGGGGAGATTTGAAACTGAAAGCAAGCACACATTTATTAAACTGAGGAACTCTAGGTTTGCAAATTCAGCTGTTAAGCCCTCAATTTTTCCATCATTTGATTTGCAATTGTCCAAGACAAGTTCTCGAACCTGAAGATATCAACAAAAAAGAAGCAAGCTTTTAAAGTCACAGGAACAAAGAACAAAAACAAAAATTCCAACAAGTACCCCTCAAAAAACAAACAACATACTACTTAGATAAGGAAACTGCAATTCTCAATATATAGAATGAAACATGCTTTTTAAATTCTTCTTCCCAAGTTTGTTTCTCAAAAAGGACTTTATCTGAATTAAATGCAAGTACACATGAAGGCACCCTTTTAGACATTCTTAAAGCCTAAGACAGAACACAGAACAGAGGAAAGCTTTACTTTTCCTATCAAGAAGTTCTGGCTTTAGCCAGTTTCTGCACTAACACGCTTTCCAACTCTAAATCTATTTATCTTTATCAAGATTTTTTCAATGGAAAAAATTAAGATGCTAGAGTTCTTAATTCAAAATAAAAGGCCTGGGGCTGGGAAGATAGCTGAATAGAATAAGCGCTTGCTTGGCAAGAAGAAGGTCCATTAGGGTTACATGTGAGAAAGAAAGACCTTTTAAGAATAGACAACTAAAAAAAGAAAAAGAATAGAGAACTATTTTTTCTTTTCTTTTCTTATCTTTTCTTTTCGAGGTACCAGGGATTGAACTCAGGACCTTGCACTCGCCAGGCAAGCACTTATTCTACTGAGCCATCTCCCCGGGCTTTAGTGAACTGTTAAGACATTAAATCAGGTTCCTTTTTTGGCCTTAAGTATTCAAATAATCCATCCACCATCCAAAGGCTATCACCACAGCCCATGCACCATGATAATCCTTACTGCTTCCCTAGCTGTGTGGCAGACTCATGAAACCTGCAACTTTAATGCCCCACAAAGGCATTCTGAGGTCTATCTATGCTTAGCAGCACTGAACCAATAGGGATGTAAAAGGGAGATGCTGAAAAGCGTAAAAGAGACCATTAGCTAGTGACAATGTTTTTACCTTCCCACACAAATCCAAGGACGCCACTCTAGTAACTGCAAAAATTAAGAGTATTCATTTGATTGTATTTGTACTCCTGCCTCCCCCATCACTCACAAGGAAACATACCTAGATTTGTATCTACACCACTATTGGTGTGTCATCACTTCTTGCTACCCTGTCTACCTTGCTACCCTCCAGAAGCCTTGGCTTCCTTCAGGATGCATGCAGCCCTATTATACCTTCTATATCTTCCTTTCTTTCCTCCATTTTTCTCTGAAAACTCAAGGGGAAAACTATGTGACCAGAGCTGAGCTCTAGAGACACTAAAGTCAAATCCTGCCTCTGCCATTTGGAATCTGTGTGATCTTAAGGTAAGTCATGTACCTTCTTTGGTAACCTATTTTCCTGTAAAGTGGAAATAACATGTACCTTGTGAAACTGTTCTAGAATAATGCCTGAGACACAGAAAATATTCAGAAAGTCTTTGGGGACAGGAAATCCAGGGAGATATGAGACACCTGCTGAAGCTTGGTGTGGTGGCACAAACCTGTAACCCTAGCACTACTCAAGAGGCTGAGACAAGAGGATGGTAGGAAGGAGTACACAGCGAGACCCTGGTCTCAAAACAAAAACAAAAACAAACACCAAAACAAAAAACCCCCAACAACAAGAGCTACCTAGGGCTGGTGAGATGGCTCAGTGGTCTAAAGCACCTACTTAGAACAAGCTTAGCAAAGCACAGGGACCACGGTTCAATCCCCCAGCACCACATGCCAGCCAGCCCTGCCGCCTGGTGGGCTGAGCTGGCCACACACACACACACAAATAAAATTTAAAAAAAAAAAAACAAAACAAAACAAAACAAAACAAGAGCTACCTGTTGTTTATATACATCTGCACTAACTTCTCACAAGCATGTATTTCTTGTTCTATTTTCTGGTGTTTCTGAGACAGGGTCTCAGTATATAGTTTAGGCTGGTCTTGGACTCACCATACAGCCCAGGCTGGCCTTGAACTCACAGGGACCCTTCTCCTGAGCACTGGGATTACAGGTATGCAATAACAACAGATGGTGTTTTCTACTTAACTACTTTCAACAATGTGACTATTCATCTATTTTTAAAGTATAGTTTTAAAATAGCCTCTGCAGCTGGCTAGGTGGTACATGCCTATAATTTCAGCACCCTGAGAGACCTAGGCAGGAAGATAGCAAGTTCAAACCCAGTTTAGGCAACCTAAGTAAGATGTCTCATTTAAAAAATGGCTGGGAACGCAGCTTGGCGCATGTCAGTGCATGCACATACACACCACCATACACTGCAGTCAGACATGGAAGGCCCTAGATTCAATCCTAAACACCAAAGACACACAAAAAACTGTCACTGCTAGATTATGCCTTTCCTGTCAGGCTCATGTCTATTCTAGTTGCCACTCAATCAGCACTAAAAAAATGTTACTCATTACTACACTATTAATATTACAGCGTGTATTTTAATTTATTGATAGGTTAAAAGAATATGAACATTTGAGTATCTGCTACTAAGATTTAAAATGTCAGTTTCTTTAGGGTTAGGGTTAGGGTCAGGGCTGGGGCAAAAAATTTTTTAAAAATGTCAATTTCTTAAAACTTACTGCAAATGTTTTCTCTAACTGAATTCTTTATCTCTTGACTATGAAAATTCTAGGTATTTGCATGTATCCTGAGGATCTCATCTATTTGTTTTTACCCAATGTGAAACACTGACAAATAGACAAATCATAAAAAATACAAAGTCAGTAAACAAAAGGTGTTCTGCTACAAGTTTTAAAAAGGTACACTCAACATTTAAATGTTATCTTTTTTTGGGGGGGCGGTAAGGGGGGAGAATGTCATACTAGGGACTGAATGCAGAGCTTCTGCACTGAACTAAATCCCCAGACCTTTTATTTACTATTATTTTGAGCCTACTCTTGCTAAGCTGCCAAACCACCTAAACTAGACTCAAACTTACAATCCTCCTGCCTCAGCCTTAAGCGCTGGGATTACAGGCACACAGCACTTCATCCTATGGCTAGTCTGTTCTTATTACAGATGGGATAGATCTTTTCGGATCACAGAAGGCTAAGAGGCATATAGAGGAAGAAGAGATTCCAAGAGGGAGAATGAGAATTTCAGGGAATACATGCTTGAAACCTTTAACTTCTCAGTAGACATCTACTACATTTACTGGGGTAAGTAGGACAGAGGCCATTAAGGCTAAAAATGCTGTCTGGATGGGCGTTGTGGCAAATGCCTATAATCCCAGCACTCAGGAAGCCTACACAGGAGGATCTCTGCAAGTTGGGGCCAGTCTGAACTACATAGCAAGACTTTGCAAAAAAAAAAAAAAAAAAAACACGCAAGCAAGTACAGTGAAAGCCTGTCCTTTGACTTTTCCATTAAGACTAAGAAAGTAATGTGTTACCCCCGAGGAGATCTTCAAAGGCCCAGTAACATGAACTACTGGGAAAGAGAGTAGGGATTACTGCATAAAGTCGAGATCACAGCAGACTCACTAAGGACTATACTCAAATACAGCAGGTATGAAAGCCCCACTCACAGCCTTCCAGCTTGTTTAAAGTCTTAAATACAATTTTTGCAAAAGATGTTCTGTTCTCAGATAGTTTTAGCAAGAAGCAGCAATTGTGGACAAGGGAAGAAAAAAATTCCCTTACTGTAAAAATCAATGCCTTGAACCTATAAATTAACTGATGAGACTGATTAATAGGAAAAAAGTACAACATGCATACATATTTACATACATATTAACTTATAAAGAACTCAAAGGTAGAATTTCTGGGATCTATCTATCTATCTATCTTAGGATTGTGAAGAGAAAACTCCCTTGGGAAGAACTAATAGAAAAAAATTGTGCTAGTGTGCACACAACCTGGATCCTAACACTCCAGAGCACTAGACAGGACTGTTTGAGGACAGCTTGGGCTATGTAGTTTATAACCAGTCTGTTTTACAATGTGAGATTGACTCAAGAAAGTTTTTACAGTGTTTACCTACACAGATTTGAGTGGTCTGCCTTAATAGACCTTAAAACTACTCCTGCCCCCAAAGGTATATGCGCAAGACACATTTTGATCTTGGTCTCCGGGGACCAGAGGGACCCAAAAGTTACTTTCTCAGTATTCATTTATTGTGCTTGCTTTTAGGAAGGTAAGCTAGAAATAGGCCTCTTTGTTGAATCTCTAATGTCTTCCATTTAAAATCTTCATACCAAACTCCAGGTCCCCACAGAGGTAACAACTAAGCCTTCCTTTTCTCCTATTCTTTCTGTTACAAAGATATCCACATTGCTTTGCATGGAAGAGAACAGCTTTGAAAGAGGGCACTTCTGAACAGCTGGTGGGACTTAGCCAATAAAATTCCTCTCCCAGTGGAGATTCAGAATAAACCAGAGATTCTAATTCCTACTTTTTTCTTACCACATTCCAAATCATCCCAGGACTGCTATCCAGTAAAGGCAGGCTAGGTAGGTACTTGCACAATTGTGTGTACAACTTAGGGAAGTATTTTGTTCAAGACCATTAGTTGCCTGCTGAAAGACAGTTTAACTTTTGGGACTAAATTCACACTTTCCATTCTTTCTTTTTTACCTCTCATTCTCCAATTGAACTTGCTTTTTCTCAAGCATGAATAAGACAAACACCTAAAAAACAAACCATACTTCCCAACTCTTGTGTTTACTTTTTCACTGAAAAGTCTTAATTGCAATGTGGTCACATAAGACCTTTCCCCCTTTTCTTGTCACTTGCCACTCCCCCAGCCCCTATGAAAAGATCAATTTTACCTAACTGGTTGAGGGACTTCCCCAATTACTTATGTTTTTGTCCTAAGAGGGAGACAAGTATAGATGAATTAAATATTGAGATATCAATTCCTTTACTTAGAAAATTAACATATGATCACCACAGTAAGTAAAACCCTACAGCTTTTACCAGTTGCCATCATTTTGAACCAATGTTCAAACCTTCTACTCTCTTAAAGAATATTACCAGAACAGATTTATACTCGTGGTTCTCCAATGTCTTTAGGTAGCCAAAACACCCATATC